CATACATATATGTATATATTATGTGTTTATATGTACATAATATATATTAATAGTAAATTTCCCTCTCACATCATAATATTACGTATACCTACCTATTTATTGATTTGACTAGACATTCGCTAGACATTATTTTTTTTTCAGCTCTTTCGGTTTTTGTTTTTTTACTATATTTTCTTTTATTTATAAAATATTTTATATTATAGGTGATTCCTTTCTATCATATTTATATTTACATATGATATATGTACATATACGTTTATATAATAAAATACTTAATAATCTCATCGTTTATAAACCCATTGTATTTACACTCATTTTTACTATAACATTAAATGAATTGGGTTGGTACTTGTGTGTGATATATTTTTTTTTTGTAGCCAATTCAATAATAATTTAAAAAAAAATAAAAACCAGAACATTAAATTCGTTTTATCATATAATACTCTTTAAATTATCAAAAAAAAAATAAAAATAACAAAAAAAAAAAATATATCTTTAGTATTGCACGTCTACGACACAAAAATGCGGTATGTAGAGCATTCAACTATATAAGAAGTAAAGGAATACAAAAAATAAACAAATTTTTTTCTGTCTTTTTTTATTTTTTTATAAATTTTGCAGAAAAATTAAAAAAATAAAGGTGTGCAAATAACAGAAATCTGCAAAAAGAAAAAAAAAACTTTTTTTGGTTCTCTTATCAGAATCTCAATTTCGATAACTCATGTGGTTTTGTTTTGTTTTTGTTTAGTATGACTTTGGTGTATGGTGATGATGATAACATTAAAATAAAAGGAAAACAAAAAAAAAATTTCAAGAAAATAAAAAATCTACTAGAGGAAATTTCATTGATGGAATTTCCATGTGTCTCCCCCAGAGAGTATGAGAGAATGAGAGATTAATTTTACTACAAAGCGCATAAATATATATTTACATACTTATATAAATATACTTGGGTTAATAATATTTATAGATTCACCCATGTGTACACATTTAGTGTAACAAACAATAATAAACAATAATAAAAATTAAAAAAAAAAAAATGAGTGAAAAGTTCAAATTGATTTTGTGTTATTTACAAAAAATTTTGCTCTATATAGTGTCTCTTCTTATACCTTACTATGAATAATGTTGATATTTTGTTTATTTGACGGATACCGTAATCTAAAATTTCATTCTTTATTTTTTTTATCATTCACCTATACATGACATTATATGTATGTATATGTATAACAGATTAATGTTTAAAAATAACATTCTACAATCTAAACATTGCACAATTTCTATATTTCACATTTATCATTCCATAAAATAGAAGAAAGTTCATGACTTTTTAGTAATATAAAAATTTTTATACTGTATGTAGTAGTTAACTTTCTTTTTAATTTTGTAAAATCACCATATTAATAATATTAAATAGTCTAAGATAAATTATTTTAATAATGTTATAGTTTTTAATATTTAGTTAGGTTAGGAGGATACACTTAGGCCACTTTGGCCCGTTGCGATGCCGCTGGATTTCCATATCCCCACCCTTACGTGAACCAGCCCAAGTCCTTTATAAATCGGTTTAAGTCCCTGGCACTTACATTCGTCAGGTCTTACTTTGTCTTACTATAAAAATATTGTGTCAACTAATTCCCAGTATATATTCAAAATTGTGAGTAAATTTATTAAAATTTATTTTTATAATTATTTATCGTCATTTTATTAACTGGTATTTATGTTCCAATGCTTTAATTTAATTAATTATAATTTGTTTGCTTTAAAGGAGATAAATTACACTTTTTAAAGTATGGAAGTACATACATATACCAATTGAACAGTATATAAAAGGTATAGAAAATTATACGGTATAGAAAGCCGATTATCAAAGGCGGTTCTTAAAATAATACTTCCAATATTAATAATTTAATAAATCGATTGTAACGTTTGCTATATGTGGCAAATTGGTGAAAAAATAAGTTTTCTCACCCCATTTAATAAATGCAAGTGAAAAAATAATATAGGCTTTCCCAATTTGACAACTGAATAATAGTTAATCTCAATGTGAAATCTCAATTTTTAAAATAACATCATGCATTTTTTGAGAAAATAATTCGAATATAACAATTTTGTTCATAGTGAATTATTTGTCTTACGGTCACGTTGTTTTTCTGTTTCAAAAAAGTAAATTATTCATTTTAGAATTCCATCAATACCTGGGGTAAAAAAAACTTCCTTTTTCGCCTCCATTTAAATTCAGTTAATCTTTATCTTAGTGTTATACCATCTAAAAGATTTATTTTGATTTCCAATACTCTAAATTTCAAAGTTCAAATTTTTATATCTTAATAAATTATTTATAGTAACGCAGAAATTAATTTAGCGAGCGGGAAAATTTAAATTTATATTAATCATAATAAGTAAAGACCACCTACTCAATATCCTTTCCACTATTGTGAACTATAATCATTTACCACATTTTCTTCATATCTTTAAAATAAAAAGACAACTTTAGAATTAGCCTACGTAACAAAAAAAAAGGTATGTTCAACCACAGTATTAAAACGGTAAACAACATATTGCTGTTTCAAGTGCAATACATTTTTCTCTTTTACCACTTCCTTATTATCATGACATTCTTGAAGATAAAATACAACGGTACAAAAAGAAAAATAAAATTTTCAAATAAATTGAATTCTCCTTTTCATTGCACATTTTTTCTCTTAAAAAAAAATACTCATTTCTAAATTTCAACAGAAAAGTCTTTTATTTTCTTAAAAGTCGCTTTAAAAAATTACAAAATTTAAGAAATGAACCGCAACTAATTGCAATAAGTTTAAAAAATTAAGAAAAAATGCATTAAATGCAATTTTTTCGTAAAAAAACAACTGGCTTTTACAATTAGTATATTGCAGCTTCAGTAATAAAACAACAAATCTTTAATATTTTATTAAATTTATTTTTGACATAAAATGTGGTAGATGTAGTTGGTACTTATATATGTACCCACATAACTAATCTACCTACAAACGAAATTAACGCTACAAAACAATGATTATGACAAAAAAAGCTGCTATTGTACGTAGTAATGACAATGAATGTTGAGTGTAGGTTTTTTTTCATACATAATTTAATTTTGATTAATCAAACGGAAGCGCACATATTCGATTCGAAATTAGCAACAGAAAATTTTTTCCATACCTATATTACGCTTATATAACATTAAAATGAAAGCTAAATCAAAAGCAGGAAAAAAAAAAACAAAATTCCTACTAAAATTAAATTAAAATTTCGTAAACATATTGCGATGCGATTTAAGCTCTATCTCATGGGCAATTTTTGAAACTTGAGAATACTTTATTGATGAAAAATAAAACAGGAAGACGAAAAATGTGCATGCATCAAGAAATTTAAAAATAAATAAAAAAATAAACAAAATGTCAAAAATTAAGCGGTTGACGACGATATATTTTTAATGTCTTGGGGAACGGCAACTGTTTGTTATTAACTTTTTCCTTTTATATAATATTATTATTATCTCTCTTCAGAAAGAAAACGAAACGATATAAAGAACCGTAGGTATAAAAATTGTAAACTTCAAAAGAAGTTGAATTTTTCATTTTTTAATATAATTTTTCTACACATGCATAATGCTGGTTACTTTGTATATATAATTGTATATTACATTTGCTTGGAGATTAAAACATGTATAAACGGTCGTATATTCCGATAAAATATAAAAAAAAAAAATTTTCTGTTAATAATGCCTGCCAAGCAAAATTAATTCCAAACACATTTCAGAATTTCGTTTGAAATTGAATTGCGTTTTTATTTCATATTATACATGTTTAATATGGTGTGTCTGTTTGTAGATACATATGTATGTATGTATATTCATGGGTACAAGCATAAAAATTTTTTATTCCACAGAGTTGAATTAAGCTAACCGTGTATAACACAAAACAACATTTCAATCCGCCTATTTTTCTTTATTTTTTGTGTTTTATAAAATTTAATTTTTTTTTGAGAGACTTTATACGCTTTTATAATTTTTAATGTGGAATTTGAAGTGAAACAGCATACAAAGAGCCTACAGCGTAATAGCAAACGAACATACAACATGATAATGTTGTATATTGTATCGAGTGTTATTAAGCAAGTAAATACGAAGCTATAAAAGTGGAAAAAAATATATGTACACATGATTTTTTTTTAAAACTTGTATAATACTATACAAAATTATATTATTGTTGTAAAATGAAAACAGACAGAGGCAGTAAAACAAATTGAATCGACTGGTAACCACAATAGCAACAAAAAAATTTATATTCTACATTTATGCATACGTCGTATATGAATTATATGTAAATATACAGATGTATGTATATGTTCATAAATTAAATACAACTTTCATGTCATATTATAATTTTTTCCTTCTTTTAAATTTCTTTAATTTTGTAATATATTTTTGTTGGAACGAACCCGTATTTAATGACTTAAAACACAATATAAATGCTTATGTTTGTTTGTTGCAAGTCTTATTTGATAAAGTGAAAAAATGATTTTCATACATACTTATCTTGAGTCAAATATCTTGAATATAATCTTGTTGTATGGGCCTGTACAATAACATGCTGTATGTAGACATTGTTGTATGGTGTGTATGAATATAAAATGAAATTGGAATTTTTTGAAATAAAATTTGCTTTGGTTGTTTACTACTTCTCCATACATTTTGTATATTTTCGATTTTTGTTTAACGAAACAATAACAACGATTATAAAAGTTCAAAATTCAATTTCAGTTGAAAAATAAAGAAAATAATAACAATAAATAATTTACGCACACATATTTATAAATGCGGTGACTTTGATTCGATAAGCCAATCCCAATAAACAAATTTTGTTCATATCATTAATATTTCTTTTATTTTTCATTACCCAATAAGCTGAATTATATTGATTTAATTTTGTATTTAATTTTTTTATATAATAAATTTGTATTTGTTTTTTTTTCAGACATTGTAACATGAAATTTTGAAAATAATGTTAAGGAAAAAGGAGAGTAAAGAGAAAAGAGTAGAAAACGTTTAAAGAATTCAGAATATGATCAATTTTTAAGAATGGAGAAATTTAAGCTTGATTTTGGAAAATAAAAGAAATGTGCGAAGGTTTAAAAAATAAACAAAGATTTTTGATAGTAAATTATCTTAATAGATAAAATGTGTACGGATTCAAATTATTTTACTTATAAATTTAAAGTGAGATAAAATTCAATACACGATGAAATATTTTCGTGGCCTAAAAATAATTCGAGAAAAAAAAACTGGGTCGGATTGGAATCTCTCTTAATCAGTTTTTAAGAAAAAACCAAATATGTAAACTACATTTACCGAGTGAACATATTGTAGCATTGCCACTTCTCAAAAAGAAATCGAGGAATTATCTAATGTTATCATAGCAAAAATAAAAGTGACTATGTCTATAACAATAATGTAAGTTTGTTAAAAACAAAACAGTATAACAGCTCTGCAACATTTCGAGATATAATACTTGGTAAACTCGCATAAAGGTAATGACCACGTTTCTACTGACGTCCAATCATAGTTATCAATAAAACATAATTGAATGAATAAATAACGACTTCAGCAATTTCATTGTAGGAAAGTTTGATAAGCAACTCGATTGCAGGAAAGTTTGATAAGCAATTCCTTTGCAAGAAATTTTGATCAGCTAGCCATGGTAGAGAAAAATAACTTTGACACACATTGCATACATGAATATGTGCAATCTCTTAATACCGAATCCGAGGCTACAAATAAAGTGTCACCGGCAATCACAAAGAATTTGTATCGAAATGGGATTTTCACATTATTTTTGGTAAACTCCAACCATTGTCTTTTTGGATTAAGACTTGGTTCACTCGATTGAAACTGTAAAAGAGACTTCAGGGCCACATACATTTAATCAATATTATTTAAAATAAGATCACTAGAAATTAGAAACAAATTTCGTTTTAATTTAAGGAAGTTCTAAATGCAATATTTTTTTTATATAATCAAGCATGTACGTACTTATATATTATATATACTTAAAAATTATGTTATATGAATTAATTTAGAAAACTATATTAAAAATTTAAAATATATTGTTGAAATAGAGTAAAAAAGCAAAATTCTATTATATTTATTATTTCATAACATCTGTTTGAAAATAATAAAAAAAATTACATATGTATTTATTTTTGCTTATTGGGTGGAATGTCTTAATAGCTCGATTTTAAAAATAGAAAATTCAATTTTTCAGTATAACAAAAATCATACACATACAACAAGAGCGAAGCATATAAACACGAATAATAAATGAGTTTTTATATTGAAACAATATGTATGTATGTGTATGTGCAAACGTTCATAAATGTCAGTCGTCAGATTATAATATGAGGCGAGGGTCTTTTATTGAATTAGTAATCTATATCTTTATCTCTTTTATTCGCATTTTAAATTCATATAACATTTTCCTTCTCATTTTAGCATATTTTATTAAATATAAGCAACACTGTAATTTTATATAATTTATTTTTATTTTATATGCTTTTTTGTTTCTCTTTTTTTTTTTCTTTGTAGATATTTTTTTCGTGTTCAGAAGATACTATTCAACTGTGTATAGAAAATAATACTGAATACTGACAGCTTTACAAAAATTTTGTAGTATATACGGCAATAACAACAAAATCTGTAATACAATCAGAAAGAAGAAGCAAAAGAAAAAAAATGGGTTTTTTTTCTATATCATTAATACAGAACGAACGATACGTGAAAGGAAATGAGGTTGACAGAGAGCAAGAGGAATTTTAACGAGCTCTAGATTGTTATGTAGTAAAGAAAAAAAAAATTTTTTAAAACGGCAATGGAAGTGCTTGTACTGCTTGCAATACATATAGCAAAAACAGAATGTAGATAGCAATGGTAGAGAAACTTCAATATACAACTTGATGGAAAATAAATGTAGAAAGGCAGCAGAAGAGTAGTGTATGTAGCAAAAATGATATCTAACAGCGAGGGTCTTTTTTGCTCTGTTTTTTTTTTTTATTTCATTATTATATAGTAGATATTTTTATTTCGTTTCCCTCATATTTGTATATTGTTTAATTTTTTGTTTTGCGCCTGTGCTATACAACGTCGCCATCATAGTCATCGTCGTCGTAGTCGTCGTCATCGTCGTCGTTCATTTTTCTTTTTTAATATAATCAGAGTCGCCGTTATTGCTTGTATAAAACTTTTATATGAGTTTTTGTAAAAAGAAAAATTTGAAAAAAAAGAATAAATAAAAAAAATCGTTTACATTTTGTGTTATTTGAAGTGAAGCAAGGCACAAAACCTCGAAAAAGAAAAAACAACAACATTTAATATAATATTTTTATTTACCCCATGTATATACTGAAGAAAAAAGTATGATTATCATTTAACAAACATCGCTATTCACATACGGTTGTATATTTATAATATGTACGTAATATACACTTAATTTTATATATATGCACGTAGTCGATGTATATAAATTATAGAGGTCTCTACTACTACTAATTCTTATGTAGGAAAATTTTTTAAAAGACCAGAAGAAAGAAAAAATTAAATGAATTTTTTGAAGTGAGTTTGGTTTTTTGGTTCGATTCAATGTTTAGAAAAATGATTTTTAGTTTTATAAGTTTTGAAAGATTGTTGTTGTCTTGGCTGTCGTTGTTAATTTTCTATTTCTGTCGTTGTTGTTGCTGATGTTGTTGTTGTATTGAGAGCAACTAGAAATTCTACTATACAGTTTTATTTTATTTATTTTTTTTTTCCATTTAATAAATGTATGTAGGTACAGATATAACACTAAAATTATACTGCCTAGTTTAATTTTAAATTCGTATAATATTTTCGAGTGGGTAAATAGAGAAAATTGGTTGCAGGAAATGATAAGCGTTATATTTCAGAATATTAATAATGTGAATGTATATAAAAATATACAAACATTTATACATGCATTTATATTTTATTTTTATTATAATTTTTAAGAGTTGTCGTTATGTTATTAAAATTATTTTTCTTTCTTTTGATTTCTTTTAATTTTACTTTTTGCGATTTTATTCATTCTTTTTGATCGTTTTATTTAAAAATTAAATTTTATATTCACTGTTAAAAATAAAAAGAAACGGTATTTTAAAATGATAGGTACGAGTACATAATATGTATGTAGGTATGTTTATTTTTAAATGCAAATATAAATGGTTTGCTTGATAATTTTTAAAATTTAAAAATTAATTCTGTAAACGATTGCATTTCTTTAATGTTTTTGATTTAAAAAAAAATGAAAAATCAATTAATTTTTTATTATACAACAAATATTGTCTGAAATTTTTTCTCAAATGTGAGAAATATAGATTTTTCCAATTTATTTCATTACAAAAATAAACTAAAATTTTATTAAATGAAAATCAATAATAAAAAATATTCTAAGATAACAAAATTCAAGATAAGATAAAACTTATTTTTTCTTTTTAAAGATATTTTATTAGATAAAATAAAGATGGCACCTTTTGCGCATTAATATAGTATTTAAACATATTCTATAAAATTAAAACATAATTAGATTTTATAGTTGAAGTATTTAATGAAAAATGTTTGTTATTCGAAAAACTTGTACGACCCTAGTCTCGTTCCATACTTTTGTAAGTAATAGAAATTTCTCGAATTTCTTTGTATTATAGGAAAATGTATGGAATTTTAAAATCAAATACATAAAATGTACCTTAATGTACCTACTTTTAAAAGAAAAAATTTTAATAACTTTTTATTTCTATTGGGTATATGGAATGAACAATGAGCACACATACTCATTTAAAATAAAAACCAGTATTTTACATATACCTTTTTACTTTTTGTAAATAAAGGTACTAAATTTTAAAATAAATAAAACTCAAGGTAAAAATTTTAAGGTAAAATATGTAATGAACCTGAAATGGTTTTAAAATTTTTAAGTTATTTTAAAATGAAATTTAAAAGTAAAATTTTATTTAATTATAAAAAAATTTTTTTTTTTTCGACGTGTACATTTTAAATTCGAAATTTTTTAGAAAAATCGAAAAAATATTTACTAACAATATTATTTTCTCAATATTTTATAAATATTTTTTCTTAATTCTTCTAAAGACAGATATTTTTTACGTCATCCCCATCAAACATCATTTAATAAAATGATCAGTGTCGTATTTAATCAAATATTATTAATGTGTTTTTCTCTCTTTCTTATTGAATTAAAATCAACTATGGCAATATTTAATTTTTCGATTTTGTTGTTCAAATAAAAAATACTCAACAACTTGATTTCGCTATTATACATATTTTTTTTTTATTTTTTTAAATTTGAAAACAGATTTTCGATTTTATGTACATATAATTTTTTCTTTTCGTTTTATTCGTTTTGAAATTGCTGTAGAAAATAATAAACAAGAAAATAAAAATTAAAATGAACAAGAAAAAAAAAATCCCCACAATTATTATTATACAAAAGCGGAAAGCGCTATCTGCACGTATGCATGAATAACAACGACTCGAAAATTCACCTTAAAGCAATTTAATGCTGACGCTCGTGTATTTTTCCATTTTTTTTTCGTATTTTTGTTGAAAAATAAAAATATTTCATGATAAATTTATGACTAAAGCTAAAGGTAAATAAAAAACCGACTGTAAAAACGAGGTATGACCTAAAATGAAATCTTTTCTTATACATAAAAACTATTTGTGTTTGTATGGTATGTCTATTTAGATTGTATTTTTATGATAAATATAATAAAAAAAAATGTAATCATTAAAAGGAAAAAAAAATTGTGAAGGTATTGCGGTTTCACATTCAGTTTAACATAGTGTGTGAGAAATCAAGGTTATTTTTAATATGTGCGTATACACTTTGCAGGGAAAAACGCAGTAATGCAGTAAATTTATACAGGGCGTGTCGCATAAGAATGTAAAAAAGAGACTTATTCCAAGAAGCAAGGAATTATAAGGGAGATTATCGTTGCTCTCAGCGTATAAGCAAGTTGAAATGGGCTCAAGACTCTTCATTCTTATATATAAATATTAAAAATATAAATATTTAATGCGGAACCCTTGACTATTTTGTTCTTATAATTAATTAGGTTAGGTCTAAAACGTTTTTCGAGAAAATCTCCTGAAATTGGGAATTTTTGTTTGCTTAATTTTTTTTTAAAAACAGATATTTTCGAAAGATTTCTTATTAATGTTTCTCTGTTTTTTTCTTTTTAGATGCGCCAGAATGAACAGTAAAAGCCTCTTTAATACCTATATTTAATCAGTTGGAAGCTTACATATTTTACCTTCAAAAATTGTAATCAAAAGAAATAAGTAATGTGTTTCCAAATAATTTTGTTATTAGAATAAAATTATTTGCAGCTTAGAGTAGAGAAGTATTGATTATTTTTTCAAGTTTCACAATACACAAACATACATATGTATATGAATATTTTATGTATTATGTTTTGTATAATTTCGCTCATATGAAATGAGTTGTGTTAATGAGAAATAGTTGATTTCAAAATAAAACAAAGATAAAGTTAAGAAAAACACAGTTGTTGTTTGTGTTGTTGGCAAAAATATCATAAGGAAGTTCAAATAATAATACATACATTCATACATAATATGTACCTACACGTATTAAGAATTAAAGTATATTGAAATAAAACAAAAATTTCTCACAATGAAAGAAATAAATTTTCTAATTAATTTTAACTAGTTATATAATAAAAATAATAATTAGTTTTTGCACAGAAAACTCGTAAATAACAGAAATATAAAATTCAATTTTATTTTTCATTGTAAATTTAAAAATAAATTTTTGCAATAATTATTTTTTTTCTTAGTATATTCATAACATATTTTTAGGATACGCTTTTTATTTTGCTAAGAATATAAAACGAGGGATAATTAAAAGTTATTTATTTTTAGGATTAAAATAGTTAAAATGTACGAATTGTTAAACGAAGTAGTGTTTTTCTTTCATAGGGTTGAAATTTTTGTAAAATTTACGGAATTATTTTTGAAATTAAATTTTTAATGTAAATTTTATTCAAATTATTTGAACTTTGCCCCTTGTAATTTACTTTTATAATCAGGGATCGTAATTTTTCACAGTATGTACGTAAGTTGTGTAATAATTTCAAAGTTGCAACTATCAAAATCGTTTCAAATAGTAATTCAAAAAGCAATTTTTCAATACAATTTAAAAGTTCATGCTACATACATCATAATAAGTATACAAAGAAATATGTGGTATTTAATAATAAAATTAAATTGTAAAAGTTTTAAATTATGATCAAGTTATTATGTTTGGCTATAAAATCCTTTAATAAAAGTATGAATGTAGTTTTAGTTAGCTTATAAAATCGCTACAAATGTACTTCTCTGTATTTAGTACATATTTTTATATTGTCAACAATTATGTACAGAATAAGTAGTTTATTTTGTTATATTCCTAGTATTATTGAAATTTAAAAATTAATTCTTTAATATAAACATTCTTTATAAATTTCACCTAACATTATTCATAGAAATTTCTTTTCGTAATTCTGCGTGTTATCTGTACATGTAAACTGTTGTATTCTAAACAGAATACAATTAAAATTTTTCATTTCCTTAAATTTTTTAAAATAATAAATTAATTTTATTATTTACAACTTTATCATTATTATAAAGTAATGCAATTAATTTTATTATTTTCCAATATAAAACATAATTTTAAATATAATATAATTATTGTCATTCAATAATAAATATAAAATAATTTATTGATATTACCCCCACAGTGTTCCATAATTCAGAAAAAGTATGTTAAGTATTTGCAAAAAAAAACCAAAATGAAAAATCAAAACAGAATATAAAATAAAAATGCTAGGAATATAGAATTCCCGCGCGAGATTATGCAAAATTTTTTTTGACTTTAATTGCAGAGCGCAACATTCTTTTAGTATAAACCATAAAAATGTTTATACAAAAGGAAAAAAAAAGAAAATATTTTCATATCTCAAAGTATGGAATTTATTTTCTTTTTTTGAAAAAATATCAATGCATATCAATAAATTTTATATATAAAAATTTCCTTAGTATTTAAATAATTTCTATGTGCATGTTTTTTATTATTTTTGTAACCACAAATTCTATAGAAATATAAAAAATAGGATGTTCGTACATTTATGCATAATATGTAATTTAAAACCAAAAGGGAATTTTTTTCAAAAAAAAAAAATAATTTATAATTCTTTATTCTGTTTTTCTTTTTTAATTTTTTTTCAATGCATGTAAATGCAAATCCTTTGAAAATAGAGAAAAACTTATTCAAAAACAAAACAAAAAACGTAATGTATAAAATGATAACGAAAAGAGAAGCATGAAAATATTTTAAATACAATTTAAATGCACAAATGAATAAATATAGTAGATTGTATGATTGCATATGTATGTATAAATTAAATAATGAACACATAATAAATATGTAAATTCATATATAGATTTTTCTATATTTATAAATTAAATTTTTCTTTTTACCTGCAAAAAGAAAAATTGCGCATATGCAATTTTTCATCTCATCAAAAAAAAAATTTCCTTATATTTGCAAAGGGTAATTTTATATACTCTCCAAAAAAAAAAACAACTTGTTTTCGAAATAAAAGTTAAAAAAATATTTCCTCAATTCACAATGATTCATTTGAATGTTTTTCATAAAAATATAAAAGAATTTTTTTGATAGCTGCGTTTGCACTGTAACTTTTGTTGACTTCTCGCAATAAATAATTTTTAACAGATTTTCTGTAAAATATTTTTTTAAATGCGCAGCGAGGTTTTAAAATCAATATTTTATATTGATATTAGTTTTCTTCATATTGATTTATACATTTCATAATTTATTATTTCTAAAGTATAATTTAAAAAGTCTCCGAATTTCGTATAACGACTTCACATATTTTGTTAAAAACCATGTAGTTAGTTTGTTTTAGTAAGCTTTTGTATTCTATTCTTAGTTATAATTTTAATAGCTTCAGTATAAAAATAGTATTTATTTTTAAATTCACAATCTTACTTCATTATAATCAATTTATTGTGAATTTCATTTTATGACTACTAATTGCAATTATAAAATTTCATAAAGTCAACTCTTATTTTTAACAACTGTCAGTCATAACTGTAATTGGTAATTTTGGAGACTTGAAATAATTTTGGAGAACTGTCAATCTAATAATATTTAGTACAATATAATATAAAGATTTTTGAAATAATAATAACAATAATAATAATAAATGATTAAATGTCAAATGATTCTATACATAATAAAATAATAAGAAAATATTAAACATTAAAAGAAAAACCTGTTATCATAAAAGAAGAAAAAGTTAAAGGTTAACATTTTTATTAAAAAAAAAAGTGATATTTATTTCCAAAAAAAAAAAATTAAATAAAAGTAAAAATATTAAAAAAAAAAATAAATATTAAATTTATATTTTCCATGTAAATTTTATTTAAATAAATAATAAATTGATAAACAAAACAATTCATATTTAAGGTATATTAAAAAGAAGAAGGAAGTTAAATGAAAATAAAGAAATATTAAGAGAAATAAAGAAAAATTTAAAATATAAAAATATCGAATTTTTAAAATATTTAAAGAAGAAGAAAAAAAAATTACAAAGGGCATAAATAGCAAATATACACACACACAAAAAAAAATTTAAAAAATAAAAAATCCAAAAATAAAAGCCTATATATAATTATTAAAAATACATAAGAAAAAAAAAAAAAATTTTTCTTCTGGTGATTTTTTCCCTTTTCTTGCTGGAATTTTAGTGCCAAACTTAGCTTCCATTAAAAAAAAGGTATTAATATTCATAAAATTTTATTAAAATATTTTTTTTTTAATTTTTAGATTCTTTATATACGGTTTTATTTTATTTTAGATTATTTTCATTTATTTTAATTATATTTATTATTATTATATAAAATTTAATCATTTTATATACAAAAATTTATTATTTAAGTATAATATTATTTGTTTACATATTTTTGCCCTTCTATTAAAAAAAAAAAATTTTAAAAATTGAAGAGTAAGAGACAAATTTGTTTTTATTTATTTTTTTTCCTTAGTTTTATCCTTACTGTTTTATTTTTTGAATTTTAAAATTTTTTTTTTTGGCCATTCCTTATTATACTCAAATAATATTATAATTATATTGCATGATATAATAAAATAAAAATTAAGTATTTTATTCAATCACAAATTTCCTCTTTTAATTAATTAATTAATTATAATTATAAATATTTATTAATTATATTTATTATTATTATGTTTTTATAAATTAATTTTAAAAAAATTTCATTAATTAAAATTTTAATATAATAAGAAAATATTTAATTAAAAAATATATACCTATATTTATTTATATATTTATTTATTTAGAAAAGAAAATCAAAACAAAATGATTAATTTAATTATTTTTATTTAAATTTTTATTTAATTAATAATTTTGAAAAATAAATCTCATTTATTTTATGTTTTCTCATATACTAAACAATATTCTAATAATTGGAAAAATCCCTTCTTCTGTTTCAAAAATACATATAATAAATATCCTTGAAATAATATTAAAAAAAATTTATATTTACTTAAGACTATATATAAATTGGTTCAATAAAAATTGAGTTAAGACGCATCTACATATATCCTCTCTTTTTTCACAAAATAAAATGAAAAACTGACCTCCACCCCCCCTTAAACCCCCCTCACATATCATATTTAACCTATACCTATAAGTTTACCATATAATTATATAACATATACCCTATTATTATTCTTTTATTCAAAAGCTTTTATTAAAAAATTAAAAAAACAAAAAAAAAAATTGTAATCCTTTTTGATTTCTTCCTTATTTTATAGCTATTTTTGGTATTAAATTTTCTGTTTAAAATTCTAATTTAATTTAGTTTTTTCAATTTTAAAATTTTAATTTAAATTTGTTAGAAAATTATGCGTATTTTTTATATGTAATTTTAAAAATTTAAATATAAAAATTTTATAATTTATGTAGATTTACATATACATATATCGGAATATATATGTAATTAATTAATACACACCTATATATATTGCATATGTAGAATGAATAATTATTTCTTTTTGTTTAAAGGATTGATTTTTAAAATGGTATATAGCATATATAATACTTATATAAAAAATTATTTTGACCTCTTTTTAAAAATGTTATAAAATAATATAATTGCACACATAATATAATGTATATATACTTAGTAATTATACTTGTATACATAATATATTTTATATAAATATTGATATGCGAAATTAAACCATATATATATATATATATACGTATATAGACACTTACATATTTTATTTGTATAATATGATATATCACGGTATATAAAATGATATACCTATTATTTCATACGTTTGGTATATTACAAACAATCTCTAAATATATACAGATTGTACATAATATGATAAATAGATACATAATCCTGCGTATATCACATATATACATACATATTGTACGTGTATACATTATATAATATTAGTTTCAGT